GCAGTGTTTGGAGCTGGGGCAATGGAGGCTTAGGCAAGCTGGGCCACGGCGACTACCAGAACACAATGCTGCCCAAGGAAATCGAGTCCTTTGCTGGCCGGCGCGTGATCGCTGTGTCTGCTGGAACAAACTACAGCCTCGCCCTCACCGCCGATGGTGCCGTCTGGAGCTGGGGCGGTGGAGGCTCTGGCAGGCTGGGCCACGGCGACGGGCAGCACCAGCTGCTGCCCAAGAAGGTTGAGGCCTTGGCCGGGCGGCGCGTCGTCGCCGTGTCGGCTGGGTGCGGCCACAGCGTCGCCATCACCGCCGACGGCAGTGTTTGGAGCTGGGGCTATGGAGTCTGCGGCAAGTTGGGCCACGGCGACTACCAGAACCAGCTGCTGCCCAAGAAGGTCGAGACGTTTGCTGGCCAGCGCGTCGTCGCCGTGGCGACTGGTGTCGTGCACTGCCTTGCCATCACCGCCGATGGTGCTGTCTTTGCCTGGGGCGAGGGCGAGTGCGGCTGCCTTGGCCACAGGGAGGACTTGTCGAACCAGCTGCTGCCCAAGAGGGTCGAGGCGTGGGCGTAGTGAGAAGGTCGGGGCTCTGGCGCCGCTGGTGTGCACGAGCGCGAGGCCGACTTGGCTCGCTTCTCGATCCTTTCGATCCGGAGAGGAGCGATTTACTTTTCATTTTTATAAACAAAGGAAGAAGGAAAACGGACAATTCTAGGCACTAGGGATTGGGCCAAAGTAGCCACTAGGGATGGAGCTGGCGCGCACTCTGCCCGACTGGGCACTGGCGCCCGACTGCGCACACTGGCACTATCCACTCTCAGTATCCACACTCACACAGGTGTACACACCACGAGAAAAAGGATATGTTGTGCCCCTAGAGATGGACGCGAGCCCTTTGCGCTTTGGCTTCTCCAGAGGACGCGAGAAGATATGTCATTGGGTCATATCCTGGGCGGTACGGCTTTAATTTCGATTAAGATTATGTGTGCGTGGAGAAACGAACGGGCGATGTGATCAGACCGCGGGCCGGGCGGCCCCCCAGCCAACTGCCCAATTTCAATCGGCGCATCGGGCCAATCACAGTCTCTCATACGGCTTTACTCAGTCTCAGGCATCTCTTCATCACGTTCCAGCACACGCACAGTCACACGACGATAAGCCCCGTGAACCACGACCTGCCTAACAAGAGTCCACGAGTGCGCCACACGACCCTAACCTAACGACCTATGCCTATCGCGGGAAATCCCCTCAGTGCATGAGGGACTGAGCCGCCCCGTGAGCCGGGGTGATTTGTCTACCTCTCAGATCCTATTCGAGCAAACGCCGGCGGGGCCCGCCCACGGGAGCCCCAGCCACATCCCGCCTGCTGCCCCCCTACGAGCGCCGCTCGAAGAGCTTCTCAATCTCCTCGAGCGACTTGTTCGCCGTCTCGGGCAGCGCGAACCAGAGCCACACCAGGCCGGCCGCCGCAAAGGCGCCGTACATCCAAAAGGTCGCCGCGGCGCCCATCGCCTGCTCGAGCGAGAGGAAGGAGGCGGCGACGACAAAGTTGACCGTCCAGTTGGTCGCGGTCGCGATTCCCACGCAGAGCGAGCGCACCGAGAGCGGGTAGATCTCCGAGTTGACGGTCCACGGGATGGGCGACATGCCTGGCGGTGGTAGGGGATGGGTTCGGGTACAGTGGGGGTAGGGGATGGGCGACATGCCGGCGGTGGTAGGGGATGGGTTCGGGTACAGTGGGGGTAGAGGGTGGGCGACATAGCGGGTGAGGGTGGGCGTAGCACGGCACTGAGCGCCGCGTGCACGAGGAGGTGTACGAGTGCAGTGGCCCGACCGAGGCATGCCGCCGAGTGCGTCCCGACTGAGTCGGGGAGGACCCGTGATGCGCATCTAGGGGCGGTGCGCCGAGCCCAAAGGCGAGCAAGTAGAGCACCATCCCCGCGAGGGAGAGCCAGCCCGTAGCGCCGCACACGGCCTCGTTGCCGGAGGGGGGGCGAGGGGGCGGCGCCGGAGGCGGCGCCAGCGGCGGACCGCCTGGCGGAACGGCGGCAGCGGCGGCCTCGGCGGCGGCGGCGGCGAGAGCGTCGGACGGCGGCAACGCGTCGTCGTCTGCGCCGCCCCCGAGCTCGCCGCCGCAATAGGTGTGGTCCACCCAAAAGTTGGCGCCTGGCCGCGGGCGGGGAGGGGGTGGGTGGGTGGGTGGTAGGCCCGGGCGGTGCAGTCGCGAGAGTGGTAGGCCGGTGCGCGGCTACCGCGGGGCTGCGTTGCGTGCGGCGAGGGCGTCTCTGCCCACCCTGCAGGGCGAGGGAGAGGGCGCAGAGGGCGAGCGACGAGAGGACGAGCGGCCTCCGCCCGACGCGGTCGATGAGCAGCATGCCGACGATGCAGCCGACGAGCTGCCCGCACGCGACCTGACGTGGACGCGTCCCGGACGGGTGAGGGGCGTGTGCTGGAAGGGGGGGGGGAGGGGAGCCCGCCGCCCCCCCGCGCGGAACCGGCGCCGAGAGCCAGATGACGAACGCGCGCTCCTCCTCGCTGACCGCGCCCGAGAAGAAGGCCTGCCTCAGGATCGGCGTCGAGTAGTACATGATCGTGTTGATCCCGACCAGCTGCTGCAGCGCCTGCAGCCCGAACCCTTCTCTCCCCATCTCTCCCCATCTCTC